GCTATTGCCTCGGAAGAGGAGCCACAATCGGACGAGGCAACGCGATTGGGTTCAATGCTGTTGGGAATAGTGAGCAAGGTGGGTAATCGAGCCAAGGGGCTCATGTACGCAGGCATGATTATTACGGGACATTTGGGTGGAAGCTTTGGTAGACATCGATGCTTCAATCTTTTCATGTCCGAGCAATGCGCCATTAAGTTGGGTATTAGAGTCGATAGTGCAGGCGACTGGTAAAAACTGTGAACTCCAAGAGAATGCGCATGAAAGGCATTGCCAAGGGGATTGATGTGTAGCTTGGACAGTGGCATGAGGCTATGGATATTGAGATCATTCCGATGATGAGACTATGATGTAGCTATAGAGATCGGATTTCTGGATAGGATTCAAGTCGTTCTCATGCTGCACAATGACTGCATTTGTGTTTTGGATCAAAAGGGTAGTGTGTAGTGCCGGTTAGACGGGGCACGCTCAGTCGACAAAAACACTGTCTGCCAGGCAATTGGCTAGGGGTGTACGCAAGGGTGAGCAGACGTTTGCTGTAGTGTGAGCCTAGAAGACACCCCCGGTAAAATGATTAAGGCACCGATAAAGTGCTTGAGGTGCTGGAAAAGTTTCGGGATGTAATGCCCCAAAGCTACCAGACCACTTGCCTCTCATACGAGAAGTCGACCATCACATTGAGCTGATCCCAGGGGCATAGCCACCCGCAGGGCACCGTATCGGATGGTGCCTCCCGAGTTGAAGAATTGAGAAAACACTTGGGAAGCGTATTGACGCCGGGTTCATTAGCCATCCAAATCTCCTTTTGGTGCTCCGATTTTATTTCAGAAGAAATACGATGGTTCATTGAGGTTTTGCATCGACTATCAACTCTTTGAACAAGCTGACGGTCAAGAATAAGTACTCGATCCCTCTCATAGTAGACTTGTTCAATCAGCTAGGCAGTGCGCACTGGTTTCGAAGTTGGATTTACGGTCCGGGTACTATCAAGTGAGGATAGCTGTAGGAGATATATCAAGACTACATGTGTGACTCTATATGGGGCGTTGAGTTCTTGGTTATGCCGTTCGATTGACAAACACGCCGGTAATATTCTGCACTTTAATGAACAAGGTACTACAACCATTTCTCGAGAAATTTGTAGTTGTTTACCTTGATGATATTTTGTCTATAGCCATTCGTTGAATGACAGTTGAGCATTTACGGCTGATTTTGAGGCACTTAGACAGCATGAACTATATGTAAAAAAAAAGAAATGTTGTTTCGGTTTGCATGAGGTGCTTCCTAGGGCACATTGTGGGAGATGGTAAAATTTGGATGGACCCATCTAAGGTGAGCACTAACAGAATGTGACTCGCCCGCCAAGGTAAAAGAGCTGAGATCTTTCCTTGAGTTGGCTAACTACTATCCCAGTTCATTGAAGGGTATTCAGGCAATGCCGTTCCACTCACAGACATGTTGAAGAAAGGTCAGGCGTGGAATGAAATGCAGTGAGCCAGCACGCCTTTGATCGACTGAAACGTGCAGTGTGAGAACAATCGGTGTTGGGACTGTCGAACCATACGTTGTTGTATGAGGTGCACACAGGCGTAAATTACTTTACCATCGACGGTGTACTAATGCAAGCCGGGCATCCGATTGGTATGAGAGTCGAAAGTTGAACGATACCGAGCAACGGTATACGGTTCAGGAAAAAAGATGTCGACAGTGGTGCATTGCTTGCAGACATGGCGGCATTACTTATTAGGGGCTAAATTGTGGTGCGGACCGATAATGTGGCACATCTTACTTCCAAAGCAAGAAAAAGCTAAGCCCGAAGCAGGCTGGGTGGTAGGATTTCTTGAAAAATTTCAATTATGAGTTGGAATATAAGCCGATCAGGGCTAATTTAGTGGTCGACACATTGAGCAGGAAGGCTACGCTAGCTACCATCAGTGAGATGCGCACAGAGCTGGTGCGCGCATTTGGGACGGCATGTTACGCTACCTGACAGCACAATCCATACTTGAGCACGCTCGACAGGCAAGACCAGGCGGTTTTGGGTGAGCAAGGGGCTAGTGTACACCAAGTGCAACAGGATCTATGTACCGTAGCACAGGGACTTGCGGAAGCTACTGCTGAAGGAGTGCCATGACAGCCGTTGGGAGGGGCATTTGAGGATGCACCGAACGCTGGCGTTATTGAGAGTCGACTACTATTGGCCTAGGATGGAGGATGATGTTGAGGGCTACATTTGAACTTGCTTAGTGTGCCAACAGGACAAAGTTGAGCAGCAGAGACCGAGGGGACTGCTCAACCCGCTGACGGTGCCGGACAAACCTTGGACAACGTGAGTATGGACTTCATCATGGCGCTACCCAAGACGGATGGGTTCGGTAGTATCATGGTAGCGGTGGACAAATTTTCGAAATACGTTACCTTCATACCGGCAACAAAGGAATGTTCATGCGGAAGAAGCGATCAAGCTATTTTTGAAGCACATTATCAAATATTGGGGGTTTCGCACACCATCATTAGTGATGAGATGGCCGGTTCATCGAAAAATTCTAGATCGAATTGTTTAGGCTACTGGGGTCTGAATAGTGCTTTTCCACCAGCAACCACCCCAGACGGATGGGCAGACTGAGCGGGTGAATGCACTACTAGAACTCTACTTGCAGCACTTCGTGTGGGGCACGCAGTCCGACTAGCCAAGGTGGTTTGACATAACACAGTTTTCGCACAACCTGCAGCGCAGTGAGTCCACCGGCCAAAGCCTGTTTGAGATTGTAATTGGACAGTAGTCGCACACTCCTAGTCCATTGCTGTGGGCTATACTAGTTCCGCACCAGCCGCGTACAAGACTGTCGGAGCTGGAAGAGTAGGGACTTAATCCGAGCATGTATCCATAAGGCCGTCAAGAGGGCAAAGAAGTGGAAAAAGTGGACAGATCAAACCTGACGGGAGGCTCATTTCAGTGAGGGGGACATGGTGATGGTAAAGCTACATCTGGTTTTAAAGAACAAAAGCTTACACAAGGGCCTTGTTCGAAGGTATAAGGGGCCATATCTGGTGGTCAAGAGAATCGGTAAAGTGGCGTACAAGTTGGACTTGCCGCTCAAGTTGAAAGTGCATCCAGTATTCCACGTCAGTATGCTGAAGCCTTACCATGCGGATGAGGGGGACCCTAGCCGAGGGGCGAGCAACAGGGCTCCATTGGGCATTCGAGCAGCGTACGACAGAGAGGTAGAAAAAGTGCTGGCCGATAGAGTACTTCGACAAACAGCCACATGCCCCAACATCAGTACCTAGTGAAGTGGAGGGGATGCCCGAGAGTGAAGCTAGTTGGGAGTTTGCGAAAGACTTGTGGCAGTTCCGAGATCGGATCGATGCCTTCCACATGGCCGAGAGGACGTTGTCAACTTAGGTGGGGGAGGGTGTCACGGACCGCAGTTCAGCGCATTGGAGGTGGCCCGAGGGTGTTCCGGAGTACCGGTATATGAAGGAGTATTGCTAGGAGAGAACCCCCACTAGATAGCAGAAGGAAGGTGCAGGGTGCCCAGTAGGGGCGCACAGCACAAGCCCTTGGGCGAGCCAGCCCTCACAGAGCCAGGCAGACTGCACGTGAGTGGCCCAGGCGCCCCAGCCTGTACAGTAGGGGTGCACGACATGTAGGCCCCCACAACATGGGCTCGCGATACGCAAGCCCGGGGTGCGTTGGCCCGCATAGCAGGGGTGCACGGCACGCTGGCCCGGGGCGCGTCGGCCAGCACAGTAGGGGTGGGCGGCACCCAAGCCCGCACAGCGCCCAAACAGATTGCCTGCGTGTGGCCCATGTGCACAAGCCAGCCAGCGCCCAAGCACACAGCCTGTACGCTGCCTAGACCCACTAGGAGGCCAAAGATGACACCGACTCACTACACCAACCCTTTTAATGGCCTGAGTTGTTGAAATTTTAGCTTCTCTCCTAAAAATTCTTTTGGAGGGAAATTGGCTATAAATAAGCCCTTCTAGATTGTGTAAATCAGATCATTCAATACATTCTTAGCTTTTCTTTTTCACTCTCAAAAAAATTCTCCAGCATTCTCCTCTCTTCTCTCCCCTTCCCTCTTCTGCAATGTGCTTGCTGGGTTGAGGCCTACTGTGTGCGTGTACGTGTGCCAATTGACCGAAAAGCAGTGTACTGCGTGTGGGTGTGTTGAGTGCTTACTGGGCAAGTGCTGAGCACCAAGGCTGACTTGGGTTCTGGTACTGAGATAAGGGTCGAATCCAAGACCGCAGAAGAATCGCCCCATGATAAAAGAGTGTAGTTGTATAATTGAATTAGTGTTAAACAAATTCTCTTAAGATTGTTTTATAAATTTGCTGAGGAATAATATTCCTTAAGTTTCAGCAACAGCTATTTCAAAATTAATACAAAAATATTCATATAAAATTTTAGGATACAGCGTGGCAAATAACCCTAAATCATTAAGTTAAAAACAAATGATTTAAGTTTTATCTTTTCTCCTAACTAATCTATTTTTTGTTTTAAGGCTTAAGATTCTTGATATAACATACATAAGGATAAGTTTAGAAATTGACATTATTTTTTTAATAAAATAATTATAAATCAAATGTTGAAATATTATTTTTTTATATTTTAATTATTATTTTATTTATATATCAAACTTTATACTCATATTACTTGTCACTTTAAAATATAAACTAAAAGAATAATGCGAGGTCTCTTTTCATAAGCATGAACCAGTGAGTTAACAAAAGTGGTTTAAGTTTTATCTTATCTGTCTTCGGACTTATCCGTTTTCGGTTTTGGTAATAAGATTACCATTGACCCAAAGCCAACTGTAAAACAGACCTCACTGATCATTTGTCATTAAACTAATCAATAAACCCACAACACCTCATCCAAAGTCAGCTCAACCTAACATCAGTACGTGACGTGTCACTCATTCCTCGGTTGTTCCCTTGTCATTACTAAGTAAACAGCCACACCTGATTTTTCCATCCAACACGTTTTTGCCCACTACACTTGAGCTTGTCAGCTTGTTCTCTTTGCTTCTCTCTCTTTCCTTTCACTCCGGCACTCCCTTGAGACTTTCACACCAAAAGCTACAGTTTTTCTGCTACTATGGCTGGGAGAAAGAAAAGAAAGCTTAAATTGTGAGTTTTTTTCCTTTGTTTCTCTGAGTAACCAAGGTTGTAACTTTAGCATTTTTTTAATAAAAGTTGGAACCTTTAGTTGCTTATGGTTAGGGTTTCATGGAAATGGCATATGGATTTTAGGAATTAGAGCCTGTTGAGTGCTTTTTATGAGATAAAAATGTGTTCTTTACTGGATAATAAAGTTGAATTATGCCAAATTGTAGTCAAATCTGAAAATTTTGAGTTGCGCCTCAATTGGGTTTTTGTTTATGCCTATGATTGGGAATAATTCGGGGTTTTCGGAATTAGATCAATTTGAGGGTTTGCTAAAGTGTTAATGTGTTTTTTCAACTATTTTTCTATTTGGGTTTAGGGAAATTGCAGTGCTAATTGAGCACTTTAATGCTTTATGATTTGGATCTTTGGCCATGCTCAGAAATGATTTGAATGTTTAGGTGATTAGAGAAACTAGGTATTTACTGATTGTGTATGTATTGTTTAGGTTAATGTTGAAGTGGTGAGTTTGAATTTTGAAAGTTGGAGTCAAATTTTGGATATTTTTAACTTTCTTGGTTTTCAGGTTAAAATCCACGTCTTCGGGGAGTGATCATAGGCTTGTGGTGCTTTTCGTAGTTTTGAGCTCTTAATCATTCAGGACATTGTGGATGATTGATGTTAAAGTCTGATTTAAATACAGAGATACTGTTGAATTAAGTGCAGTGTTGGGTATTTCAATGCTAATAATGTGACTTCAATTTGATTGGATCACTGAACTTTAGTAGTGTCTTTTGCACCCCAAGGGAGGAGGTTCCAATGGTCAGTCAAAGAAGGGTCTTTGAGTTGTTATTACATGATAAAATTATGAGTCACTCATTTGCATACCATGTGAGGTAAATGGGGGATGAAAATGTAAAGTTATATTGCAATTTGCAACTTCTTTAGGTGGAGCTTTTTACTACCGATAGACATTTACCAATAAAGTTTGATATTTCCATTGAGGATTTGGTGAAGTATCAATGTCCTCTAAACTAAGATCAATTCCAGTTCATGAAATCATGATGGAGGTTGAGTTTCTTATGGGATTTTGAATTGGATCTCAATCCAAGGTTCAGGGATTAGAACAGTCTACTGTTTGATTGGTTGTTTTGTGTTCTTCCTATTAGTCATGGAATTATAGTTTTCAAAGATTGGTTCAAATTTATAGAAATCTTTTTATCATGCTGCATTTCAGGGTTATGAGCTGTTGTGCTTTAGGCTAAACAACAAAAATATGACTTTTCTTTTTAGGAGATATGACTTAATCTGTAGATAGTATTGGATTGAATGTGAATATGAAGCATTTTGGATGTTTGATGCTTGCGGCTTCTAATTGCCCTGAAAGACAACTGAACTTTATTGTTTCTTTTCTAGCTGAACTGTTGGTTTGGATTTTTTTCCCCCTGAAGTGGGGAGGTGTCCTATGGTTAAGTCAAATAAGTACCTTTTTTTGTGTATATTACCCTAAGTTCATGAGTGGCATATTAGCATGCAGTATGTAGTAAATGGAATATCAAAATGTACTTTTTTGTAAATATGTTTTTGTTGGTCCGTCTAATCAGTCTTTTCTAGATGTGGTCTAAGTTTAAGGAATGCAGCAAGCATTGAATTTTGAAATAGTTATAGAGCATGATTAAGCTGTCTGACTTGAGCATTTTAGGGTCCTTTGCTGGGTTTTGATGTCAGCCTTGTATCACTTCTTTTTCATGTTTTATAGCTAATAATGGCATTTTAATATCAATATCCTTTTGGCTCTATAGGTTAGCTGAAACAGTAAATGGGGATGAAAGAACAGCAACTGAGGATGGGAAGGAGAGGTTGGAGCTACAAACATGGTCTGATCTTCCTGTAGAACTTTTGGAATTGATTATGTCCCACCTAACGCTAGAGGATAACATTCGGGCATCTGCTGTCTGCAAGAGGTGGCACAAAGTTGCAATTTCTGTGCGGGTGGTGAATCAATCACCATGGCTCATGTACTTTCCAAAATATGGTCATTTATATGAGTTCTATGATCCATCAGAGCGTAAAACCTACTCCCTTGAGCTACCAGAGTTGCTTGGATCCAGGGTTTGTTACACTAAAGATGGTTGGTTGTTGCTCTACAGACCCAGAAATCACCGTGTGTTCTTCTTTAATCCCTTCACTCGTGAGATGATTAAGCTTCCCAGATTTGAGTTGACATATCAGATAGTCGCCTTCTCTTGTGCCCCAACATCTACCAGCTGTGTGGTTTTTACAATTAAGCACATCAGTCCTACTATTGTTGCTATCAGCACATGCCATCCTGGGGCATCGGAATGGGCCACTGTTAATCACCAGAATCGCTTGCCATTTGTTAGTAGCATTTGGAACAAACTTGTATTCTGCAGTGGAATCTTTTATTGTCTTAGTCTCACCGGTTGGTTAGGGGTTTATGATCCTCTGGAGCGTACCTGGAATGTTCTTGCTGTGCCTCCACCGAGATGTCCTGAGAATTTTTTTGCCAAAAATTGGTGGAAGGGCAAATTTATGGCAGAGCATAATGGAGACATCTTAGTTATCTATACATGTTGTACGGAGAACCCCATTATATTTAAACTGGATCAATCAGAAATGGTATGGGAAGAAATGCAAACCCTTGATGGTGTGACACTATTTGCAAGTTTCTTGTCATCTCATTCAAGAATTGATCTCCCTGGAATCATGAGGAACAGTGTGTACTTCTCTAAAGTTCGTTTCTTTGGAAAGCGTTGCATATCATACTCTCTTGATGACTGTAGATACTATCCCCGTAAACAGTGCTATGACTGGGGAGAGCAAGATCCCTTTGAGAACATATGGATTGAACCACCCGAGGATGCCTCATCCTTCATCTGAAGAACAGTATTAGTACAAGTGAGTATGTTTGAATGAAGCTCTCATGACATGCTTGTGATATATTTATCTTCTTATATTTCACAGCATCCATGGAATGGATATTGATGCTTTCTGTAGAATAATTGCTTATGGATGACTTGATTATGTATTAAAATAACCAAAATTGGTAGAACTCCATTGATGCTCGCTGTATTTGACAGAAGCACTTTGTCATGCTTCTCGGAGAATTCATGTAATCTTTATTTATTTTTCTTTCAAATATGAATGTCTTTCCCGTGTAAATTTATTCAAATGCAGCACTCTAGATCATATGTAATGTCAATTCTTAATCTTTTAGTTCAATAAAGCAGTAGCTAATCATCATCTTGGTTGATATCGTTTATGTGATTTGTGTTCCAAATAATGATAAGTTGTTACTACCTTATGATGTTCTCAGGTTTGTTACTTTTGTGGAGTGGGATTAGACCCAAGTTATTGCCTCAATGGAGTTGGTTCTGGAGTTAGAAGTTTCAATGAAGTTTGAGTTCATGGATTATGGAAGGTTATTTCATTCCGCTGGATGGAAATTGAACAGCAAAGGAGTTGGAGTTCCTGAAATTGCAAGCATATTTAGCTGCACTATATTATCTTATTCTTGGCACATCTCTTAGGTTATACTAATCATTCAAATACATTCAGATCGAATCTCTCCCTTTTTTTTTTTCGCTTTGATACTGCTTTAATGTCACTTCTCTTACGAAGTTGAAATCATATATAGTAATGTTTTCAGTCAAGTGTGTTAACATCAGCTGCTGCAGTTGCTTCATCAGGAACAAGAATCCTTGACCTTGGCAATGGCAGCAATGCTCGAACAAGACACAATATATGATTGTCTCTGCCCAACACTTGAATTCTCCTCACCCTCCAAAACCTTGATATATAATTGTTAAGTTGGGGAATATGACTTGCATTCACGAGCTCAAAAAATCCAAGAGTTAACCATCTTCTGTATCCAAATTCTCAATTATTGACTTTATCTAAGGTTCATCTAATTCAATACACTGTATACCAGAATGCATTAATCAAGCCTAATGTTAATTCTGTTTATTTACATAAAAGAAAGGCTTATCAGTTTTCTTCTTCTCTCTGCTGTAGCTAACAGTGATTGTATCTTCATCCGCACAATCATGAAATTGTATTAATTACAGTTTCAGGGGACAAATCTATTTGATTGTAAAATCCCAAAAGTTATAGAACCATAGAGTTGCAGTTTCAACTCAGAGAAGTGACGATGCGTTCATCATGGAAATATATTGATGAACAGGAATTATAAGGTTGACTAAAACTTTATATATACTCTAAAGTCAAAGAGAGTAGTTGAAAAAAACAGAAGAATGTGTTATGAAATATAACTTACAATTATTAGAAAAAATATTTAAGAGTAAAAAAATCTTATTTAAGTGTATATTTATAAATAAAATGAAGAGTCTATTTATAAGTTCATAACTCCTTGTATCATATTCTTATTCCAATTCAATTTATATCAAATCTTGATATACATAATCAAATATAAAAATTCAAATCAGATTACACTTTTTATATTTGGCATGTTAGGCCGTTTCACTTGGTTTGAACTTCTTGGATCATAACAAAATGGTCATTCACATATATATTTATAATACTTTCCCTTGAATGTCCATTGTATTAAAAATATGTCTCGTTAAAACTTTACTAGAAAAAAACCTCATGGGAAAAAAATTCAAGTAAAAAAAAATATATAATTCGTTTCAAGAAAATGCTTTTGAAATACTGTCTCATTAAAAACCTTATCAAGAAAAACCTAGTGGGAAAAATCTTGATGAATAAAAGATTGCAGTGCGTTTTTTACTCTCATTGATAACTGCATTATTTAAGATCTTTAAAACGGTGCATTCTAATATTTTATATCAACTTTTCAAATGTTGCAATAGAAAGAACTTTATTGAAGAACTTTGACGAAATATATTTTGTCTTATTGCCTTTAATGCATCTTTCCTTTAATTGGGTAATGTAAGCAATATTATCTTCATATAAAATTGTTTTAGGTAGTAAAATATTGGTTCTCTCAAAACCTTCAATAAATTTTGTACTATCAAATATTGTATTAGCATTGGTTTCTTTTATTGTCAAGTAAGAAAAATATTTTTTGTTTTTAAATATATAGTGTGCATTATAACAGTATCTACTAGATATATTTTTGCATCATTAATCTTGGATCCAACCAAATGAATATCCATATTTTAAATTAAGATATATAGTAAGCAAATTGTAAGTTAACATAACAGAACATTAAATATAGAATTTATTATTAAAACACCTAATAAGAATATATCATTTAAATATAATGAGAACATATAAAAGCATTTTTATAATAGCATTATACTAAAACATATCAATAAACTATTAAGAAATTTCATTTAGGATTTCCCATTACTAACAAGATAATTAATTTGTCCTTTAGGGAAGGCAAAAAAATTAAAAAAAAATCCAAATGTTTTATATCAACTTGATTATGATTAAAATAATCTTGAATGAAATTTATTTCAATATTTTTTCCTTTATTTTTTAATGATGCTTGATAAAGTTCAATAAGATGTTTTGTGATATTATAGGTACATGACCAATGACCTATCATATCACTTCAATAACAAAGATTTTCTATATTCTTTTTATTTTGTCCACTTTTATCTTTTCTTGTTTCTTTTCATTATTTATCTGCTCATGGTAGGTTAAAAGTATTCATTAACTCTTTAAGGATTAAAAATATTTTTATTATTAGAATAATGATTAGTGTAATCACTACAACTGCAATAATTATGATAACTTTTTTCACATTCATGACTATAATAATTAAAAAATGATTTTGTAGGGCTAATGATTTCCATTAGTAGCTCATTATTTTGTTCAATCACAAAAATATATGAAATTTGAAACAAAATATATTTTCAAACACCCAAAAGTATAAGTATTTTCTACTTGTTACAAAATAAACATCATATAAAGTTAGATATCATATGAAGTCAATTTTATATGTTCAATTTAAAAATGTCTTATGTAAAATCTCATAAGTCTAAGAACATATTTACATGCATTGAGCATAATCATATTTGAAATTCAAAACAAAGAAATTATGTATTGAGCAAATCATATCCCAACACTAAAATAGAGAGATAATATGTAATTATATTTATTTGTATGCTCAATTCGATTTAATAAATCAAGGGATAATTTATGATACACGCTACATGATAGAAATTCACATTCCAATTTAATAAATCAAAGGATAAAATATGATACATACTATATAATAGTAAATTCATTTTCCAATTAAGGGATAAAATATAATATATAATATATGATATTAAATTTACATTAAGACTAATTTTCAAGGAATGTAAACATCAAAGAGAAATTAAGTCACTTATCTTACTTGCTAAAATAAAAAATCAAAGACCAATAATTGAAATCCTTTTTGAAGCCTAAAAGAAGGGAAACTTTGACTTTGAAATAATTTGAAAACTGAAGAAAATTAAACTTCAAATTTGAGATGACGATGAAAACTTTTGAGTTTGAGATAATGGTGAAAACTAAATGATATCAAACTTGAGAGATTAGAGAATTGTGTTGATAACGTATATGAAATATAACTTAAAAGAACAACTATGAAAAAACAAATTAGAGTGACTATGAAGATCTTACTCAAGTTTATATTTACAAATAAAGTGATGGGCCTATTAATAGGCTAATAACTCCTTACATCCTAATTTTAATCCAATTCAATTTATATAAAATCTAAATATATGTAATCACATATAAGAGTTCAAATTAGATTACACTTCTTGTGTTTAGCTTGTTACGTTGTTTGCCTTCTTGTGTCTAGATAATATCATAATGGACATTTATACACAGCAGAATAATACTAATAATTTAAATATCCAAATAGCTTTACTACCCACATTAGGATTTGGGCAATTCCCTAATAACTACTGTTTTCTACCTTTTAAGATTTAACTAACTGCGCTTTGCCCTTTTTATTTAAGACATCAAACCAACATAAACAAGAACAAGATTTAGTTGAAAGCCACAAATCAGCTATCATGTGTTCCTCAAAGTTGAATGCTTTTTTTGAGAAGGTTAAGGCAAAGGTCGACTTTGATGAATATTTGGCCCTATTGGAGTACCTTCATGACTAAAGCACTAAAAGAATCACTATGGTCTGTTTGAAGGACATGGTGGTAGATTTGTTTCGAAAAGACCCTATGTGCATTGATTATTTTCTTTGTCTTTTCAACATCTCTGATGGTTTAACTCTACCAATAGAATCAGCGGAGAGCAGTCGCAAAAAGAAGAGGCCTAGAGGTTCTGAGGGAGCTTGAGAAACTAATGGATACAACAAGAAGATTAGTTCAGTTCAAAGCCATGACCCTAAATCTACTTCAAGAAACAAAACAAAGTATCTTCAGTTTGAAGCATTAAGGTTCTTGGAAAAAGTTAGGAAAGAAATCAGTTCTGAAAAATATCTTGCATTATTACACTATTTACACGATTATGGCATTGAAAAGATCACAAAGGACTATATGATGGATATGATGGCCGATAAGTTTCTAGAGTTTGAGAAAGATTTTTTTTGAGGTTTTGAAGTTTTATAAGACTTTAACTTAGTCATCATTGGAATTTGAAGAGATAATCAAAAAAGAAGAAGAAGAAACCAGACAAATACATGAAGAGTAGTATTACACAACTTGATGGGTTGACACTAACCTATTGATTTTTTCCTAAGAATCCTTCGGCTGAGTAGAATAGCACTAGTGAACTTGGTGATCTGGAAATGCTAAATAAATATTGCTTTTCTAAGGGTTCATTTGGTAATGGTAGGGTAAGGGCTAAAGACCTTTATGAAAAGATGTTGAATGAACGTGAAGATGAATTGTGTGTATCAGCTAGGGAAGATGAAATAGATTAAAAAAAGCTTGGCTGATCGAGATCAAGTCACACTGTTGTTGCAGGAATACTTTACAGAAGCAAAACAAAGTAAAAGAAGAACTCACGTGCCTCCCATATGATTTGGGGATTTCAAGTACATGTGTATATTTATTTTAATTGACTACTTTTACTGCTTTTACTTTTACAACGCTGTAAATATTGGTTAGTTGAGAATTAACTAAACTGAAGACTTTTCATTAATGTTATTAGTGAGTTAAGAATTAGGTACAAATATCTTCAGTTGTACTCATTTTTTTAACAAAATTCATCAGAAGTTTCCAACATTAGTCAAGAATTTATCTGTTCACTTTGGACTTCTCCTATGGCATCAGAGCAGATTTAGGCTTCCTAGTATGATTCTTCCCTAATTCTGCTTTGATTTGGGTTGAAGTTTCATTGATATTTAGCTTTCCTTAGTTGCATGAGCTAGATTTTCTATTTTAAAATTATTCCCTTGTTGAGAATTTCTTGAATCTTGCATTGATTTTACTGTTTCTTAAATCATTTGTTGTTGAAAAATGGGAGGTACTACTATCCAGAAAGTTTCCACAACCTTTGTAAAGGATTCACAATCGCCCTATTTTATGCATCACAGTAATCACCATGGATCAGTTATGATTAATCCTAAGCTCAATTCAAACAACTATGTGGCTTGGAACAAGTTATTTATGCTAGCCTTATCAATTAGGAATAAAGTTGGATTTATAGATGGGATTATTCTTAAGCCAACTAGTACTGATTCACTGTTTAGACCATGGATTAGATGTAATGACTTGATTATGGCAT